AAATAGCCGTATTGTTCTTTTTCGCACTGCTGCTTCCCTTTTTTCTTCTTGTCTCTCTCCGTCTCATTTTTTCCCTAAATTTTTTTTCTCTCCTTACTTCTCTTTCAATTTATCTCCCTCTCGCTTTTATTTTTTATGAATGTTTCTCGTCATCTTTCTTATGTCTTACCTTTGTTTTCCTTTTTCTCATTTGCTCTCTCCGTTTGGCTTCACTTAGCTCTTCGTTCATCCTTGTATTCAGTCTTAAATCAACCCTCTTTCTCTCTCGATTTTCTTCCCTCTTTTATCCAGTTGACTTTTTCGTTTCGGTGTTATGCTTTATCCAGTCACTCTCTTATTCTTTGTTTTGTGTTTTTTTACCGATCTTTGTCTTTTTCTATGGCCTTCTACCTCCCTATATGTACCCTACCTTTCCCACTCCTCTTCGAAAGGTGTTCTCCCTTGTCCACATTTTCGTGTATGGATGTGAAACGCGACTCTCTCTTCCATTGAAAGTTTTATTATTTTCTGTGTAATTGGAGGAATCAATTGATTCATATTTGGTCAGTTTATTAATTAATTGATTGATTACATCGACTTATTAACTCAGTGGTTGATTGTCCGTGTTGACCATGAGCGGAAGGAGAGCCACTGCGTTCTGTTAGTTTGCTCTCTCTCTCACTGATCGTAACACATCTAGGTAGGTTTTGCAAAATAACGTGAAAGGAATGGGAACAATGAGAAGTGTGGTAAAGGCTAGGATTGATGTAGTCTTTTATGATAGTAATGTTCTATATGTGTGCGTGCGCATGTGTGTGTATCTGTGTGTGTGTGTGTGTGTGTGTGTGTGTGTGTGTGTGTGTGTGTGTGTGTGTGTGTGTTTGCGTGAGTGAGAGAGAGAGACATCGAACTTTTTGCATGATCATGGCCGCTATTTTCATCATATACTTTATATCTCATTGTTTTTCATTGTGGTAAGTCCTTTCCAATGACCTATCTAACGGTTCGGCAACTTAATGGACTGCAACTCTTTGTTAGGCCCTCACCACGTTAAAGAGATATATTCTCATTTTGCACATTGGGTGGGTAGTGCAGTGATGCACGTAGAGCCTCACTCTATTGCTCAACATTTTATACACATCTGCACTGCTGATGAACCAGATATATTCCGACTGATGTAACATTTTGAATATATTGGGACCATTACCTGCTCGAGGTACACATAACTTATTGTGTTGTGGAGTTTGGCCCTTAGTCAAAGGTTAAAAATAGTTGCATACATTGACAATAACTATAATACATTTTTTTCTTGTTGAAAAGTCAATATTCATAATTTCCCCGCCCTTCAAATGTCATTATCCACCATTTCATGATTTATTTTGTACTCGTATTTCCCCCCCCCCGAAAATCTTATAATCGTATCTAGAGCAAGCCCAAGAGCAACGAAACTGTCTGGATGGGGGTCCCACTAGCTAAAAAGAGGATTGGATTAAGATCCGGAATCTGGATGTGTTTTATGTAGAGAGGCAGAAAAACACTTCAATCTTGATATTTTGCACCTCTCCACAAACACATTCGGATTTAGGGATTCAATCCAATAGTCTTGCTAGTGAGACATTGCCTCTGGTTTAAGGTGTCGAACGCATAATAGGGGGTGGGTTATAACACACTGTTTTCTGTTTGTTTTGGTTTGTATGATAAACAATAGCAAGATCTTTCAATTATTGAAAGTCAATTGAAACCTATGTCATTATATGTCGAACCATATGCAAGAAAAATTTATGGTCGTTGTTTTTACGATTTTTTTTTTTTTTTTTTTTTTTTTTTCCCCCCCTTAACCAAGGTGCATCTTCTCGATGCCGCGATGCGAGGAGTGGCATGACTGAGATCAGAGAGGCGAAACGACTAGTAAAATTGACGATGATGTTGACGATTACGAAAATACATGATCAATCTTTCCACTTTTGTATCTCTCTCCTCCTCCTCTTATTTATCTGACATGTATTCTTGATTCTCTTCGAGAAACTTCACCTCCTCTTATTCTTGTGGCATGTGTTCGTGATCCCCTTTAAGGAGTTTCATCTCCTCCCTTGCGGTTCCATTTTTATCTCCCCATTTGTATCATTGTTTCCATCTCAATGTCCGTTTGCGTTTTTGTATTCGTCTTCGTCTCAGTCTTCGTCTTCGTCTCTATCTCTGTCCCCGTCCCCGTCTCTATTCCCGTCCCTGTCTCCGTCCCCGTCTCCGTCTCGGTCTTCATCTCCGTCTCCGTCTCCGTCTCTGTCTCCGTCTCCGTCTCCGTCTCCGTCTCCGTCTCTGTCTCTGTCTCCGTCTCCATCTCCGTCTCCATCTCCGTCTCCGTCTCCGTTTTGGTCTTTGCCTCCGTCTCTGTCTCTGTCTCCGTCGCCGTCGTTGTCTTCAAGTTCGTCTTCGTCTGTATCTTTATTTCCATTTTCATCTCCATCTCCGTCTCCACCTGCATCTCCCCACTTTGTCTATCGTGTGATTAATTCTGATAATTTTCGTATGATGTTGAGAATGACAAGGATAATGCCGTTCATGTTGACGATGATGCGTGTATCTTGCAGCGAGGTTAGGCTCGTTCAGAGTATAACCTCGTTTCTCTCTCTCTCCTATATACAAATAAATATATACATATATATACATATATATACATGTATATATATATATACATATATACACACACACACATATATATATATACCCATCCATCTTCCTCCACTCCACGACCATCAACTTCAGTTCAGTTGTCTCCCAAATCTTCTCCCTTCTTCCACATACAATCGTGCCTATAGCAGTCTTCTGTCCATCATCACTCTCACTCCATCGCCGCCCTCCACAGCCACCATGCTTCCAAAGTGTTTGACAATCATATTATCGCCCCCTTCAGTTTCTATTTAATGTTTTTTCCTCCTAACGCAAGAACTTTCGTCTCTCTCTCTCTCTCTCTATCTATCTATCTATCTATCTATCTATCTATCTATCTATCTCTATCTATCTATCTATCTATCTATCTATCTATCTATCTATCTATCTATATGCATATATATATATATATATTTGACTACAAAAAGCCATTGATGTAATTACTGTTCAGCCTGCTCTCTCTCTGCCCCTGCATCCCTTTGTTGTTTTTTCTTATTTTTTCTTCTTTCTTTTTCTTTGTCCCCCTCCCTCTTTGCCCTTGGTAGCCTCCCTCCCCCCCCACCCTCCTCCCCCAACAAAAATAGATGACGGATTCACAATTAGATTCAAACTGAGGTATATACTTAAACCTCTCCGTTTCATAAACATTAACCATAGTAATTAGATGCAAATACAAACAAACAAAAGTTCCTCAAAGGACAATAATAAAATGTTATGACAATGTACACAACAAACAAAGACAAACAAGATATAAATTTACATAATCGACTGCAAAAATCGACACAAATTACATATTTAACAAAATAAGTTTTGGAATGGATCCACTTGACTTCAATACAGGTACGGTGTTGACCACAGTCCCTGAAAGTTAAGTGTTCATTCTTTTGAATTATTTCTAATGAGTTGGTTTTCGTTGCATACACAACATTATGCATGCTCAATATATATTGTGCCCGAACTTTCATGTCAACTACTTTCTCCCTTTCTATCTATCCATCTTTATCACTCTTTTTCTTTTAGTACACACACATAATGCTCCACGTTTCCGTATTCGGTGTAAATTTGTATGTTGTGTGAACTTTTGTTAAAACCTCAGTTCATCTACCTAATCTTAATCTTTTTCTCTCCCTCTCTTGACATACATATAGATAATGTCATACATTTCAGTCTTCAGTATAAGTGCACAATATTATATCTGAGTTCATCTACCACCTAATCTTAATCTCTTTCTCTCCCTCTCTTGACATACATATAGATAATGTCATACATTTCAGTTTTCAGTATAAGTGCACAATATTATATATGAGTTCATCTACCTAACCATATGATTCTCTTTCTCTCCCTCTCTTGACATACATATAGATAATGTCATACATTTCAGTTTTCAGTATAAGTGCACAATATTATATATGAGTTCATCTACCTAACCATATGTTAAATATTTGAATACAAAACTAGTTATATGTTGAGATATGTGGTCTATACCTTGGTTTGAGTCAAAGTCTACGTCCAAATATGAGTTAAACTCTAATGTATAATCCTCTCGACATGATAACTTCAATAGTTATACACTTTTTTTTTTTTTTTCCCTCTTTCTCTCAATAGATAGCATCATCGAACTTAAACATGAGTTATGCTTTCATACACAATTATGAATGTTTTTTGTCGTCTACCTAAGCACACATTGTCGAACTTGGATATGAGTTATGCTTTCATACGCAATTGCAAATGTCGTTTGTCGTCTTCCTAAGCAATTATGCGGCAATTTGGACATGAGCTATGCTTTCGTACACAACTGTGAATGCCATATAAATAAATACGTGTTTTTTTTTTTTTTTTCCTCCCTCTGTCTCTCTCTCTCCCCCCCCCCCCTCTCTTTCTCTCTCTCGTAATACACGTATACATAATGCCTCTGAGTCATGTCTCAGTCTACAAATTATATCAATATTTTAGGTCGTGTACCTAAACACATCTAATATCTGAGTATAAAATTAGTTACGCGTTGAAGTCTAAGATCTATGTTCTTGTTTTAGTCAGAGTCTACGTTATAATATGAGTTGAAATTTAATGTTTAAATTTATTGTCATAAATTATAAATACGGATGCCCAACTCCTTCCTCTACTATACATTGATATGTTGTCGTTTTCTAATTACAGACAATCATAAATATACATTGAACCTCACAGTCTATGTATCAGTCCGAGTCTAAATCTGAACCTTTGGTCTTTTCCCGAATCTAAATATCGGTCAACAAAGCAGTCAAATAATTCAGAAAATGCCAACGGGAACATACATCATGAATGGATTGCGGCTTCAGGAAGAGTGTAGACATGGCTTCCTCCTCCCCCACACATGAGATACGTCTATGTTATAGTTTTTTATTTTATTTGTTATAACCATTATATAAATCACATGAGTTGAGGTGATAGGGGGGGATTAGACCCCTCATCCCCCACATAAACATAGATAGCATACCAAAACTTGCACATACATGTCTGTCATAAGTAAATATGCGTCATTCTCGACATGTTTATATCAAATCGATATGCCAGTCCATAAATTATGTTGGATCGTAATGCGCATATATTTTCGACGTCACTGTATGAGGGTCAAAATATTTCCTACAACTGGTTGGTCCTAAGGGTTCGGTCGTTCGCTGGCATAAGTGATTTTTTTTCGATAACCGTTCATGGTGCGTAAACCAATTCTAACACTTATTTTTTTTAAGTTATCGACCGACAAAGACTTGTCAAAGTTAGTTGCGAAAGTTCGTTGTGCTAATGACCCTATAATATTTCAACACCTTACATGATGAAAAAAAAAACTTTTCGTACCTCTTGTTGAGACCCTTTGACCATTTATGGCATATTCGTGCTACGACATACATGCCACAAAACCTCATATATATCATTACTAGGACGATTTACTGCACATTTGTGGTACTTTTTCGAATCCGTTATTTACATAATAAAAGTCACGCATATTTAAAATAATGCTACTGTACATACAGCGAGCGAATAAGGTAAGACAAACAAGTGTCCACTCCGCACAATATTGTTACTAGACAACACATGACAGCATGTCCAAACTTGTACATGCATATGTCATCACTACACAACACAAAAGATGTGAACTTAATACTATAGTTTCTTCGACTTGACCCTGGGTACCATAAAAGCCATACATATTTAAGATATAGTTAAGATAAACAAATATATGTTTTACTTTATTCACTATTACACTATTGCTATACTACCTTTGCGATCTTTATATCTAAGTCTCTCTTTATACTTTTCATGTTTATGACGGACAATCAAATCAATTATCATGTCTTTATAGCTTACGGTCTATCATATACATCATACAATGAGCTACCAAAGTTATGGCGTATTGGTTAGACAATAATTATCCTAAGCCCGCTAGTTTGCAGATTAACATTTTCACTGAGGCCTATAAACCTGCCCTTAATAAACCCCACGTTATTTGTTCACGCCTATGAGGAAAATTATAGTTCCTACTAACATATAGAATCCCGCAAGACTGTCGCTTCATCGATTCGACCTCTACCAAGAACCTTGAAACCGATGTCTGCAAGCCCTCATATCTTAGAATATCCTGCATATTGACATTTTCGCTACGTCTCACAAACATGACTCTAAGGAACCCCTTGTTTTTCTTCACGCCCATGTGAAAAGTTACGGTTCCTGCCAACATGCAAGCCCTCTTATGAATTTTCAAGTCGAAGTTGCTGTGTCATCGACGTAACATACAACCTCGCTAGACTTGTGCTCCTTCAGCTTAACCCTTGCTAGGACTACCTGAACCAATGCCTTTACATTATTGCATTTTTATATCCTCCGGGGAGAGAAGGTTAAGAGAGACCCTAATTTTCAGACCACTTGCCATGCCATTTATATGAAAACCAAAAGGTCATTTTAATCAAACTTGCCACCCATTCGTAGAGTGGAGACCATACGAACTACCTGCAAAACAAAATCCAAAAAAATAAAATAAAAAACATATAAAACAGCAAGGCAAAAATGCATTTTCATAAAATTTCGCTAACATCTCAATTTCAGAAATCTTGAGAAATTTCAGAAATCTTAACAGAGGAAATTCCAATTCTCCAAATGACACAAAATTTGGCACACACCAACCTTGAACCAAAACAAAAACAGGCAGGAAAAAAAAAAAAAAAAAAAAAAAAAAAAAAAAAAAAAAAAAAAAAAAAAAAAAAAAAAACCCGAAACCTTAATTTCAATTTTAGACTCGTTATGAGGGCCTGAAAATGGGGGTCCCCGTTAACCATTTGTGCCTCCGGGCTGTGCTACCGTGTTTTAGCACGAGATTGAGGTTTATGAAGCGAAAGAATTTGAGAATCGACGAGCATATCCTGCATCACTGTATTATATGTGGTGGACACCCACGTGCTACGTTTGCCGACCTCTATCATCCAACATTCGTTGATTCATCTATGAGACGTGAGATCAGATCCCATATTATCAAATTGATTGATAGATAAACAAACATCGAGAGTTTGCCCAACCCCAGGTATATTATGCCTTGCTTTACTTCTCAAATGGTGTTCCAGTTACAGTAAGTCCTTCCCTCTTTCCCGATACTTGATTCGTGAGATTTGTATATGAAATTGTGTTATTGTTGCAAACTCTCTCTCTCTCTCTCTCTCTCTCTCTCTCTCTCTCTCTCTCTCTCTCTCTCTCTCTCTCTCTCTCTATGAGATTATCATATCTCTTTTACACCCGACAAACCTTGTTTATGTCAATAACATAAACTGATGTTAGATATTCGAACTTTATCTTTCCTACAGTGCTCTTCTTCCTAATGAATAGAAAACTCAACATTAAGCTTGACATTGCAACGAGGGGAATAAAGACTACACATTTGAACATT